CACACACACACACACTCACTCACTCACACACTCACACACACACACACACACACACACACACACACACACTCTATCTCACACACTCACACACACACTTCAGAGACCATGGCAGATTTATCGTGTGCTGTTGTTTTGCTGTGCTTCTGTGAGTGTGTTTGATTGAGGCGTGACGTGTCTCTCTGCAGATGTGTGAAGATCTGTTCAAGCGCACCAGTGAGAACACGGATCCTGATCTTTCCTACTCTGTAGAGGTGCTGCTTCACACTCCGCACATCACCGAAACACACATGTGATCTCAGAGAGCAGAGTGACCCGTGACAGATATATATGATATCACACCCTTTCATTTAAAGATAACACATGCTGAGATGAAACATGTATTTATTTTACATAATTTATTCAATTAGGAATGTTTTGAAACTGAATAAGTATGAAAAAATAATTTGAACTTGATTAAAAAATACTAAAACTTCTGTTATCCTATGATAATATTTTTCAAATTTAAAGAAATAGTTAAAAACATGAGTAAAACGCAGTTAAACGCAGTAACCAAAGGTGAACTCAGTAATCTGGTGAGTCTGGGAATCATGTTTATCAAGTAAAGACCAGGTAACCCTAATTTAAAAAATTAGGTGTCCTATATGGAGATCTACTGCGAGCGAGTGCGGGATCTGCTGAGCCCCAAGAGTAAAGGAGCGCTGCGGGTGCGAGAGCATCCCATCATGGGGCCGTACGTCGAGGACCTGTCCAAACTCGCTGTGACGTCCTACAACGACATCAGAGACCTCATGGACGCGGGGAACAAGGCCCGGTACAAACCACACCAGCGATTATTCACATTAACACTCGTTACTGCTGTACTCAGATGAAACGCTCCTCACTGTCACGTGTTTGATTGATCAGGACGGTGGCAGCGACAAACATGAACGAGACCAGCAGCCGATCACACGCCGTCTTCACCATCGTCTTCACTCAGCGCCGCCGAGATCAGCTGACCAGCCTCGACACAGAGAAGGTGTGCGCGCGCGTGTGTGTTAGGGTTGGGTATCGTTTGGGTACCCGATCGTTCGATACCGGTGCCAAATCGATACTTTTAAAACGGTTCCGGTGCCTAAACGGTGCCTGAACCGATACTTATTAAAAGATAAATAAATAAAAATTCCCCAAAAAATGATGGATTGGCCATTAGCACTATAAACACATGATGTCTGTGTCATTCATACGGGACGCTAGAGGGCGCCCTCACACAGAAAATCCACAAATCCAGTCACAGAAGTAGCAGAACTCATGACCCTCCAGGAAATCCCTTATATGGACAAAGGCATAGCTATTATAGCTGTAACTGAGTAAACCGAAGATATAAATCGTTACTACAAAGATATGTTGGATGTGTATTATTAGAGCTTTCTGACTTGAGTTCACGTGCATTTTCTAAGTCGGGAAATTATTTTTCACGTGCGGTGCCACGATGATGTTTCTTACATCTGTTTTGGAGAACCAGAGGACAAATATTTCAATTGATCGCTCAGGCATTTAAGTGGCACCGAAATGAGGCACCGAAATCTGTGTTCTGATTTGGTTCTAGTACATACCGGTTACATAGGTACCGGTGCCATATTGGTACTGGGTTTTGGTACCCAACCCTAGTGGTTAGAGATCTTGGATGGCAACCAAAAGATTGCAGGTTCGAGTCCCTACAAGTGGTGATTTATGATTCATCACCATTGTGATCTAAAGCAAGGCACTCTTATGTGTCATGGTCGGCTGTGTTGGGTTGTTAAGGAGTTTTAATTCTGCCAGCCTTCATGGACTGACATTTTTTGTCAGCCGTGTTGATCC